TGGTGTTTGCAGGAGCATTTTGTGTGGTCCCGTGGAAAGCTGGTTGTGCTTAAACCAGCGAAAAACCAAGAAAGGTTGACAAATCATTCATGAAAAGACGATGAGGGCCAGCAGCAGGGCCTGGGCTCAGTGGTGGCTCGGTGCAGTGCCTGAAGCTCGGGCGCCAGCTCCGAGGCTGGAGCTCACCGCTCTGCTGTAGGTGCTGTGCAAGAAAGGGTGGGTGAATCAAGCCCCGGGGAAGACTCAGACAGGGTGACTCTGGGGTCCAGAGCCCAAAGTCGCTTCTGGTGCCTGGCTGCCTACAGCATGGAACGGGAACATGCACGTAGGTTATGTTTTGTGACAACTGCCCAAAAAAGGTACAGTGAATATCTTTTGCTTGTGGTGTGATTTGACACATGACATACCACAGCAGCCTTCCAGGGCAAAGAATGCAATCCTAGTAGGTATCTGATATAATTAAGGATGTATGACTTAAGTACCAGCTCATGGCAGCAGTCTGAAGTGATACCATTGGACTGAGATACAACCTTGTGGTTTTGCTTCCCATCTAGGGAATTTGTGCTAAAAATACTGTTGGGTGGATGGAAATGCAGAATGTTATCGCATGCAGAGGGGGGAGATGGAATGTCAGTCCCAATAGAAGTCACCATGGAAGAGGGAAAATGTAGCATTGAATGTTTTAGGGTGAGCCTTTTTGTGTTGCCAGCAGGATAAGCTGGGACTGGGTTAACATTCTTTATCACTCCCGCCCCTCTGTCCCTTGCAGGATGAGAAATGATCTGTTTAGCAGTGAGTCATAGGTAAACAGAACACATATAGGTAAGCATTTGCACCATACTAAGTATCAGTTTTCTGCCACCCGTCGTGTCTGTGTAGATACTGAAGATGCTGTTTTCCTCGCTGTGTTTTGTCATGGGAAGACACATTTATTTTTTAGCTGTATTCAAAGTCCCTCGTCTCTAGGGAAACATGGGAGGGGATGCTTGACACACAAGGACCGTGGTGACTCATCCTCCCCTCCAAACCCCGCCTGCGCCCTGGCTCTGCTGTCCCAACTCTGGGTGGCACACAACGACTGTGATTTAAGAGAGCAGCAGAAAGAGAACAGTTGTTCTGACAGCCTGTTTAGAAGAAGTACCCATGACCCTGTTTGAAATGGTGGTTACAGACAGCGGCATCTGCTGAATTATTTAAATTGATACATTCAGGTTCTACAACCATATAATCAGAAGAGAGGGAGCAGAGAAATTTATACACAGAGTTACTTGTGAAGGACAATAAGGTAATAAACAAAATGTTCTGGATAAATAACAAATTAACCAAAGTGATTAGATTTCAGCCTTAGAGAGCTGTAGAGCGAACTCCTGCCCGTTTTACCCATATGAGTAGTTTCATTGACAACAATCTGCTTCTTAGTAAATTGCCAGTTATAATAAAAACAATTAAACTTGTTCTTTTGCTTCTCTATTGTGATGCATTTTGATAATTCTAGTCATAACCATTAAAACTTGTGCTTTTATGCTCCCATGTTGCAAAATACTCTTCACATTACTGTTAAAGCGCTCAGCCTCCTTTTTCTGTCGGAGTGTCAGTGCAGCATCCACAGAAGCGGCAGAGGCAAAGCAGACACCTCCAGCACAGGTGCGCGAGCGGGGCGATGCAGCTGCCCGCTCCCTCTGCCCGCAGGTGCACTGCGGCACCTCGGGGCCGGGAGCGTTGATCCAGAAAGCAGGACCGAGGGAATTCCATGCCAAAACGTTGACAACATCTGATAGGCACAAGAGGGATGCTGAGCGCGCAGAACTGCGTGTCTGGCTGAACATGCAAACACCAGCGGGGTTAGATTTGCACGCAATAATAATTCATTTGCTATAAAAACAGATGTACCTTATAACTGCATCTAAAAGGTGTGCTCCCAAAATTAATAATCGAAAACCCGTATGAAGATAAAGGTTTTGGAACTTTAATAATAAATTTTGAAAAGTTACTCTCCATTTTCTTATACTGTAAGTACCTATTTTAGTGAAGTCCTGAGTGACATCTATGAAGTTTTTCAAAAATATTTTTTTATTTTGTCACATTTTAATGTTTATAATGGCTTTATGCTACAAGGATAAAGGCATGGCTATGGATGTAATGGCTTGGACAGAAAATTTTCTTTTGAAGAGTTGTTTGTGTATTTTCTTTTCTTCTATACTATTCATGAAGTACTTAGGGGTATTCAGGAGAACAGCTAGCTAAAAAGTCATGATCTTAATACACGTGTACACCACTTATTCTGCAAAAACGAGTTGGAAGAATTTTGTATGAAGTTTTGGGCAACACCGCTTCCCTGAACAGCAGTACATTTAGCAAGTGCCTGGCAGTTTTGCAGTCTGCCCATGAGAAGTGCCATTCCAGAAGGCTCCCTTTGTACCCGTTCTTCTCAGGAGCATTACTGAAAGGGTGGCTGGCTCAGTGGTGAAACAGCTCTGGAGGGTGAGATTTCACTTTACTGCCGCTATGAAAAGGGAAAAGTGACGTAAAATGATATTAATTTGGATTTTTATCCGCACTTCCAGGATTCACACTTGAGAAGCTAGCAGAGTTGTGTGCAGGCATTATTCATCCCTCTTTCTGGAGCCCCTAAATCTGTTGTGCTGAATGTTGTACAGAACTGGAATAAGAAGGCAGGCCCAGAGAAAGCTGGCGAGCTGTGTGTGATACAACAGACGATATGCGAATAGCTAATGGATAGAATAAGGAAATAAGGAAATAATTCTGTTATAGGCTGCTCAGAGATCTGAAGAATTGGTATGCAGGGAAGATGAGGGGGGTAAAAACTTCAGTTTTGGAACTGCTGTGGAACCCTCTTGGATGGCCAGCAAGCTGTGATCTCTGGATTAAGGAGGGACCCCAAACCTTAGGGCTCTGTCCTAAGGCTGAATCTGGTCCCACCAGAGTTCACCACTGTACACTGGGGTGGTGCTCTGCAGTCAGAACTCCAGCACCTCTGTCTCTGGTGTAGATTTAGCAAGAGAATAAGGCATAGATAGACCAGGCTGCTGCCAGAGTCCAAGGGTCACCAGAAATGCATCCCAAGCAGAAAAAAGTCTCTTGGGTCTTTGTATTGCATGAAGGATAACACAGCCCAATTCAGACTGGAGTTCCATGCTACACACAAGAATTATTAATGGCAACAGACTGCTGTGCAACTGAAGGCACAGGTCAAGGACACAAGACATCCTTGCCTCAGTAGTTTTGCATTTGCTTGCTATCTGACTGTTCTCTTGGCTTGTTCTGGTCTTGTGGGCAAAGCATTTTGACTGTGATGAACTCGGGGTTCACGTGAGCTCAGCTCATGAAGTAAGTCAGACTCCAGGCTCCCTGTCTGTGGGAGTCACTCCACTGGTGGCACTTCCTTAAGCAGCCCTTTGTTCTCTGCTGTATAAACTTGGGCCTGTTTTGAGTCCGTGCTGAACTATTATTGAAAAAGGACAGAAGAAGTGAGTGATAGGAAGTGAAGGCGAACTATAAGTGGTGTGAACCTTGTTTTCCTTTTCAAAGTAAAACTAAATGTATGTGAGCTATTTTGAAATGACAGGATGCTTTTGAAATATATATAAAATGTTTCAGTTTAGTAAGAAGAAATGCTGAAGATCTTTTTTGCTACCAAGCAGCCATGTGGATGACATTGGCTGGCAGTCTGTTACAACACAGTAGTACAAAGGGAATTTTTTCAAACATTGCCGCAGTACATGTTTTTTTTTCAGTTGAGATCTTGCTACTATAAAGTCAGTCAACTGAGAAGAATTTCTCGTGTTTTGGGAGGTAATAAATCTTCCAAAACAGTGTTAACCAAGACTAGCAGTTTTGCTAGTTCGTATTACTCTATATCCCACAATACAAATTGCTGAAACAGGAGAAGGGGCTTCGGTGTACATTTCAAACATTTCCTTTCTAGTTTTGGTCAGCATCATATGATTACATGAGAGAAATAGCAAGGGATTCATCAATAATATAAGTGGTAAACTACATCTCAGGTTTTAAGTTAAAAAAGAAAACAAAACCAAAAAAACGCTTTCTTCCCCACTCCCCCTCATTATTCCCATCTAACTGTTCAACAGACTTTCTGAGGAGTCTTGGAACAACTTCTCTTTTCAACACTTCTGATTTAAATGACTGACTAGAAATTAGTATTTCATGGCATATCAGGATCCAGTTCTTCAAAGCTTTGTCTCTTTAGTGCTAATTATTTCAACAAGACCTATACTAAAGGCAAATCCTGTCACTTCTCTATATTGTCTACATTAACACTATAAAACTAACTTCATACGACAATTAAAGTTCTCGTTTCTGGTATTTCCTCATTTTCACTGTTTAGTGTCTCCCACATAAAGAAGTGACACAGTTTGAAGAGACACAGGGTTTGGAAACCCTGCAGTTAACCAGCTATTAGTTAAAAAAAATCAAGACTGCTAAAATTTAATCCTTGTTTCCCTTTCTTTTCAAGACAAAGCCACCTTGAAGTTCTACACTGGAAATTCCCATAGCAGGATCCATAAACAAAGTAATGTTTAACCCTCCCTGTCAATTTGAAACAGTATGTATTGCCTGAGCAAGGAAGCAAAGATCTGCTTAGACACCTTCATGTCTGGGGTTAAGGAACTTAGAGAATTTCCACTAGACTTCACTTCTCTTGTCATGGTAAAAAAAGCCCAAACACAATCAACCCTCCACCCATAGTCATTTCACAATCTGGTGGGCCCAGAGGTAATAAAATAACCCCCCCCAAAACCCAACACTTATGTCATTTGATCAAATAGAAGGAGATGCAGCACAAAGCTGGAAATCTTTTCCATTTACCTTGGCCAAGGTGAAGACAGCCCTGCGCACAGCCTGTCGCCTGGCTGTCAGTGTTTCAGACCCACTTTCAGAGGCTCTTGCCACAGTTCCTTCATGCACTATGCATACTGAGGAAAACACGTGTAAGGCAAAGGCCAGGCTCTTCATCTCACCATTTGAAGTTCCCTCTTCTTCCTTTGCTCATACCAACCTTCAGCAGCCCATCTCTCATTAGCTGCAATTAGGAAAGAGGGTCTTCTTTCATCCTGGCTTCTGCCTGGCTCTCGAAGCCCACCTGAGCATCCAGGTGGGCCCTCACACTGAGAACTCAAATAACGAAAGCCACTGGGAATGCCCTGCGAGAGAACATCGTGGGGGCTCATGGCGGCATTCTGCCTGCCGCGCTCTGCAGTAAATCCTCCCGGTGAGAGCATTAAAGGGCCGATGGCTGCTCTGTGTTGCCAGAGCAGCACAAAGACTGGTGCAGCCAAAGAGCAGTGAATGGTATGAGCAACAGTAGCAGTAATTTCTGAAGACTGCCCTTTGTGTCTGTGAGCAGCCTGAAGCTGGGGAAACACCTCAAAGGAGGAAAGAGCCAGAGTTACAGACTTCCACTGTTCATCCTCCAACCTCTGAGCTGAATGACCTAGATCAATTCTGACTTCCTAAAACTGGTATTTGCAAGAGCTACACTTCACTGCTTCAAATACTCGAGGCAGCTTTTCCCTGAATACCTACATATGGCCTTTACTGATCCACACTAAGTTTTCTGATGGAGAGCCAGAAGGCTTTGCGTGTCCTTATCCATTCCCACAGCCAGTCTCCCGGGTGCCTAGCATCCTTATTCATGGTAATCAGACATGTGAAACTAACAATTGAGTTCCAGTTTTGTGAAGTGCAGATTTCTGTAAGGATGGAGTTGTCATCACAAAACATCCTGCTGTTTATTATCAAGCCCTGTAGATTTCGACAAGTTTATTAATTTTAGCTGTGGTTCTTAACTAACTCCCATTCCTTGACTATTACAAGAGTGACTTTGGTCTCAAACACTTAATAAACATGATGAAACAATAAACTAGGTGAAATGAAAAGAAATGTTGTGGGATTAGCTCTGTATTTGAATTGAGCTCTTATTGTATTATTTAGCAAACACAAGCATAAATGCTTGTAAGGTGGTTCTTTTGAAATAGCAAAACAAGCAGGATGATTTGGGGAGACACAGTGTGAGCAGGATTAAGTCTTACAAAGAAAAATCCCTCATGACATTGTAGCTGAAAAAACAAGGCATAATATTTTCCATTTGTCCATACAAGCTATTGCAACAATTTCTGCAACAAAGCTGAAATGGTCTCTGCGGATGTCCATTGGGTGCAACCTATGTTTGTATGAAGCGTCCTGGCGTGTGTAGATGATCTTCAAACATGAAAGATTGCTTATCTGTTTTGCATCACAAAAGATTTGCAGTCGTCCTACAGCATTCGACACCACTGTTTATGATTGAGGGCCAGATTGTAATAGCTGTGTTCACAGTTATTTAACTTTTACCCTAACCCTTCCCAAATTTTTCTCTGTTTTATCCTGCTGCTGTTGGGCTTACGACCATATGAACTATATGAACAATTGTTACTTCTATCAGGCTAGTCACCCTGCTGGAACTGCCAGAATCGCACTAGGCTGATAAATTGCGGTTCAATAGCTGCTGCCAGATGTGACAAGGACGTCCACTGGTGTCAGTGAAGCTGTTTGTGAAGCACAGTGCACTCAGAGGGAAGAAGGGTATCTCACAGTTGATCTACTTGCTAGGAATCTGGAAGTTTAGGGGAGCGACAACAGGCAGAAATATTAAAAATCCTTTATGTATGGTTAAATACTTATTCTGGGATTGCAAAATACAGGAAAATAGGGAACATAAATGTATTAATTCAATAAAGATGAAATTAATGAAAATGATTTTTCACATGCAAGCTGAAGCACAACAATGAACAAATATATATTCCAGCAGAAAATCTATCACTATTTACCTCCTTCTGTTAATACAATCATAGTTTAGGCTAAGGCCATCGTAAAACTTAAATGAATTGGAAAAGAGAACATTCTGTTTTGCAACTGTTAAAAACAATTGAATATGGTGTTAACTTTGCCATCGGTTTTGGCAGCAAGTCCTTTTTCAAAGTCCCATGTACACACTTTCTACTCTTTTGTAATAGGGACTTTAAAAAGTCATTAATTTGGCTTGGTTTGCATGGGAATGATGCAAGCTGGACAATGTGGAGAGCAGCGTTTGAAAGATATTGCTTGCAAGGTTGTGCTGGCTGACAGCAGCACTTCAATCTGTCAAATGCCTGAAACGTGCACTCACTCCGGAAAGACCGGAATAAATGAGGAAAATAAAGTGATATTAGTCACTCAGCTGCAGCTGCAAAGTTATACCTGGCACGTGGCTGAGTTTTGGGGCAGGCAGAGAGTATACCAGTGTTATATATCAGCAGAAACCCCAGGACAGATCTGGTACCAAACAGAAATAATTCTCACCTCATTTGCAGAGCTTAGCAAACAAACTTATTTCACTAATTTTTCTTTAATCAGATTCTGAACTACAATAGTGCTCACTTCAGTGAAACTGGAATAAGGAATAGTCTAAAATCATCAACAACTGATAAAACATGAATAAAGTGACTTCCATGTGTATGTGATTATTATAAATGTGACTTCTCTTTCAAACAAAGAGTACTGTAAACAAATACATGATCCAGTTTATTAATTGAAATTGGCTGAATTACAGTTTGAAAATAAGATACACACGTTGGCAAGTACTATACTTCACTATAGTTAGGCCTCTAAAACGCATAATTCATGTGGTTTCTCCTGTAGAAATTGTAGCCCTTTTAGCTTGCCTTGCTAGAAGATTTTGAGAAGTATGTGTATACAAGCCTGACTGCTGAATCCATATTCAGACCTGAGAGGGCAGATCCAGACTCTGGCAGTTACATGGGCTAGGGCAGAAGTTAGTGAGATCTTCCATCCAAGCAGGGTGCACTGCAGAGCGGGACTAGGGGTAAATGTTTCAGGGGTTAGCGTGCTTGCCTGTAGCCTGTGTTGCTCAGGATACGAGACCGAGAGATGCGCGGCCTGGTTCAAAGAGCTGTGTCAGTGTCCTGTTTTATTAGGGCTATTTTATCTTGCAGGATGGTTGTTCTCATCTCCTGGTCTGCAAAATGGTGACAAAACAGATCCTCCTTACTTCCCATAGATATTATTCGGGGAACTTAAAATGCCAGGCTCTTAGGCACTAGATGCCAAAGAAAGGTAAATTATTTCTGTGTTGTTTTTTAGAGTAGATTTGAGAGAAAAAGCTTCTCTGCTTGGTACAAAGAAAGAGAGAAACCTTCTGAACAACAGCAGCCTGGCGTTCAAGGCACTCGTGGGATGCCCAGGCCGAGTTCTTGTTCCCTGTCAGACAGAGCCCTGGCTTCACCCTGCGTCTGCTGCCTTGCTGGTTCAGAAGCCTTCCACGCTAGGCTGCTGGCCACTCTGGAGCAAGTCTCTCTCAGGGAGAGAGCCTTCTCTTTCTGACACACAACAAGAGTGTGATTTAAGCACTTCACACGTTTTGAGACAGGTCTGTGCTGGGATGTGCTGGTTTGAGTGGAGTGGGCAAGTTAGATCCCATGGAAAGGAACAGCACTAAAGATCTGAATCAGAGCACCATATTCAGCCTAGACAAATGATTGTTTGGACAGATGGCTGGCAAAAAACAGCCAGAAGCAATTCAAAGATAATATTCATGTGATGTCTCACTTCCCAATGTTAAGGAAATGCTTGTTAATCCTGGCACTAGTCCAATGCTGGGCAATGACATTAGAAGGACATAGGCAGCAAGTACGAACATGTCTGCAGAGATCATTAGGGATGATTATTCACTCTCACAATATAACGACTTTGTGTAGCAGATATAGAAAAAAGAAGAGGAAGCCCAGGCCCTGAATCTCTGCTTCAAGATAATTTTCAATATATCCAAGCAATGATGACAAAGTGTTTTGCAGATATTATGGGAGCAATAATTTTGGTTAGTCCCATCCTGGCATAGCTAACACACAGGCAGGAGAAAAGCAGACCTTACCTGTCCCTTTTTGTCATGCAGCCTAGAAAACCAATGAAGTATCCCAGTAAGTATGAGCAACAGCACAAATTAGCCTCCTTATCTAACTGACTCTGATACTGGTGGCTCATATGAAGTTAAAATGTCAAGTTTGAAAGCTAAAGGAACTACCTCTGGCCTCAGTCAAAGTTCTTACGCAGCAGCTCCACGAGCAGAGGAGTGCTACAGTTCAAGCATTATTTACTTCAGCCAACATTTACTACGTTCACAGTATGAAGGATTCCCCTGGTGAAGGAGCAAGGTCAGTCCTGTCCCTCCCTTCCAGCACAGCAGAGACAAAGATGGCCAGGTGCTGGCTTGGCTTAGCGTACTGCACTTCAGGCTGCATCAGGGGTGTAGCAAGATGTCACTTCCCAAGCAAAGCTTGGGATAAAATTACATCAGATGACATACCAGTCTTCAGCTGCCCTGAACATGCCAGTAACATAGGAAAACATTTCCCCTGTTTTATGTTACAGCTTTCCCCCAGAAAACCTCAGATTTTTGGGGGGTTTGGTGCTGATGCTAGTGACATTTTTTTAACAATGTGAAATATTTGTCATTTGCAAAAGGAATAGAGTTAAGATTGACACTGTCATAAATCTTACTAGAAAAAAATCTGCTCAAATTATGTGAGATGGAAGAACTCTCTGAAGGGTCTGAAAAATGCTGTAGGGGGAGAGCGATGCCATCCACTTAGTCCTCTAGTCCAAGCCACCATCATGACGACACTAAATAGCAAATCAGTTTAGGAGGGGTCAGAAAACATGGGGAAAAACTGAGTAAAGGACCCTGCAAAGCCAGTATTCCCACCTCCCTTTCTGTTTCATTTCATTCTGCAAAGCCAAAGATTGTTTTCTTGTATTTATAAAATGAAAGCAAGCCCTGCCCTGTTTTGCTAGAAAGTGTTGATCTTTTTATAGAGCTATCTGCTCAGACAAGCAGAAAATTTCAGAGCAATTCTTGTAACAGGCTCTTTTTTACTGTAAGGCCAAATAAATGGTTGAGGTATTTATTTCTTGGAGGAATAATAGATGAGTTTCTGCTCTGCCTCTGTGTTTGTGGCCATTAATCAGTGACAGCAATTGAAAATTATTGCCTTGTAAATTGTTTCCATTACCAGCCTAGTTTGTGTGCTGGAGGGAGGCAAAGGTGAGCAGGGCCACGGCGGTCAGTGGATTTCTCAGGCTGGCAGCCAACACCAGCGCTATTGCTGTTGTGTCTGTGATGGACGTGCGCTGGGGC